AAAAAATGTGTACACATACTTTGAATAATTATAAAGGCAGTGTTTATTAAACTACATTTCATTTTCAAAATTGAGCTATCAGCTGTTAAAGTGTGTATACATTTTTTGGGACACCCTGCATATTTTAGCTGCAGTTATTCTAAAGTGCAAGAGCTTCCTCAACCACTATGCGTTCCCTCTCAGAGTGGTTATAAATTTCCTGTCCAAGGGAGGCTATATTTTCTGGTTTCTCTCTCCTGCTTTCTCCTCCTTTTATTTTCAGTTGTTTGTAAGGCACTATTTCCCCAACTGTCCCACCCCCAATCCCCAGCTAATTTCTCCTCTGGTCCCTTCTCCTAGGCTTGCCTTCTCTCCAGCAACTCCCAAAGTCAATGAATTATTACCTCCGAGATTGGGCCCAGGACACTGGGAATCTTGGGTGCCACAGATGGACAGATGAGATATTAAAGAAATCATTCCCAAAGGTTCTTCCAGAAGTGGCATAAAAGGATCAGGGGAACAAGGAGCATGTTGGCTACCTCAGGCAGGTCAGGGTTTCAAGGCACAGCACCTGCAATTGGTAAGTGTTGCGGGCTCCTCTCACTGACTTCCTGTCCTTGAGTAAGAGAATTCAAATGAAAAAGTTCCAGTCTATATTTTTTCCCATTATAGAAAGACCTCTAGAAAATATATTTGCAAGTTGTTATCCTTGCTTCCAGTCAAGGCCCTGAATTTCTTTTTACAGTCAAATAGTCATCTCTATCTGGATCAATCTAATCATAGACTTTTGGCAGAGCTGGATAAGTCTTGTAAAGGCAGTGGCAAGGTTTAAAATGATATAAACAAAAAATAAAAAAATATGAGTGTCTGGTTGTGGGTGGCAGTCCCTATCAATTGTTTTACTCTAAGAGTCAGAATTTGGGTAGAGGGAGCAGCCAGTCAACAAGCCCCAAAATATAACAATTGTATTTGTGCAGCACTTTGCAGTTTTCAAAATATTTTCACATTTGTCCCATTTGATTTTCACAATCATCTGGTGGGTCAGGTAAGGCAAATCTCTACTCAACAGATAAAGAGAGAGGTCACAAAACATAGCGGGGGCAGAATGGCCTTAGAATACAGTCTCTTTGGGATCTGGGACCAGGATTTACACCTTAGAGACCACCACAACCTCTGTCAAACCAGGGGGTTGATATGCAGATGTTTGGAGTGTCCAGAAAGGGAGGGAAAGGGGAAAAAAAACACATGAAATTGACCTACAATAGACCAAAATACATTTTATGTGGTATCAAATCATGTTCAAAAGTGGTTCTCCTGGAATGCTTCTTAATTATCTGCTTAGACATCTGAAATAGGACAGTGCCTCCCTGTTTCAACTCATTTTTATTGCCATACGCCCTATTCCTAAATTCTGCCTAAAGTTTAAATAAACATTTGCTTTCTTAGCTCTGAACTTCAGGTGCAAGATAAGGAATGGGAGGAAAACAGTACTGCTTTTCACAGTCCTCCTTAAATATGACACGCCTGAGAAGAGGAAGTTTTTCATCATTTCTAAGTCAGGGGAACATCACTGACACATGGCACTTTTTGAAACCAACCATTCCCTTCTACTAGAAAGTGATAGTCAAAGTATTATGGTTGCTCTATTTTTGTGTTTCCCAGACTGCTAGTACAATCCATTAGGAAATTGTAAAAATCAACTCAGCAGGCTATAACCAGCATTCGAAAAATTAATAAATAGAAAATGCCAGAAACATCGCAAATACAATTGACCCTTGAACATCATAGGTTGAACTGCGCATGTCCACTTATGTGTGAATTTTTTCATCTTGTAAACAGACGATATAAACTTACAGTATTGATACAGTACAATGCTGTTAAAGTATTTTCTCTTCCATATAATTTTCTTAACATTTTTTCTCTACTTTATTGTATAAATGCAGTATATAATACATATACAAAATATGTGTTGACTGTTACTGGTAAGGCTTCTGATCAACAGCAGACTATTAGAAGTTAGGTTTTGGGAGAGTCAAGTTATACATGGATTTTCAACTGTGGCGGGGAGGGGTGGATGGGTTGGTGTCCCTAAACCTTGTTGTTCAAGAGTCAACTGTAGTAAGCATGAGTTTTACTTACATAACTTTTTTATTAGTTATAATTATGCATCTGTGTACTGGTTTATGACATCTTATACTTCTGTGGGATAAAGCAAAACTTTGGGAAGCCACTTATGTAGAAGATGCATTTACCTCAATCCCACGTCTAAGCTGTATCTTAAGACCCTCCATCTAAAACATTCTTTCAACAATACTCAACATTTCCTTTTTTAGTGCTTCTTTAGGAAGCAAGGCTGACCTATAAAGCCCACTGATAAGATACTGAGAAATCTTTTGTACAGAAAGTTTCATTTGGCAAAGGGCAAATATTAATAGAATACAGCAGAGTTAGATAGCAAGTATTTTGGTGAAATATTTTTATTGTATAGAGCCAACTGTTAAATCAATAAGCCAAATATGCCCTATCATTTCCCCCTAAATGTGTTAAGGTTATGCTTAAAGCACATCTATACTTACTTTTGTTACCCTGTAATAAATCATATTTTATCAAAAATCAGTAAATAAAGCTTCCTCTACCAAATTTCCTGCCTCACTAATTACAGGCAGGAAAATCCAGCAACATTGCAAAATGAATCATGCTACCTTGTTGGTTTTGACTTTTGCTCCCTTCCCAAACACTGCACTTACCTTTAACATCATTGGGACTACCTTTTTAAACACACCATACATTATTAGGTAGTTTTCAAAACCTAAGAAAATATGACTCCTATTTACTAAGGTACATGCATGCTTATAAATAAGGTCTGTGGCTCTTCCAGCCATGAGCTGGTCATAAAATATAAATAACTAGGTGACAGTTTGAGTCATGAATTACTAGCTTCTTAAGCTTATAGGCTTTTACTCAAATGCCTACAAATTCAGACCTAAGTCAATGTATTTCGTCAGTCTAAGATGGCATCGATTATAAGATTCAACAGTATTTTATGTACCACGGAAAAGGGGGGGGGAAGCTGATTAATGCCCTGGCTGGTGTGGCTCAGTTGGTTGAGCGTTGTCCTGTACACCAAAAAGTTACCAGTTCAATTCCTGATTAGGGCACATACCCAGGTTTCAAGTCTGGTCCCTGATTCAGGAGGCGACCAATCAATATTTCTCTTTCTCCCTTCCTCTAAAAAAAAAAAAAAAATCTGATTAAACTATGATTTGGCATCAACTTATTACCCGTACCGATTTTAGGGATATTAAATTGCGAAAAATGAATGCATCTTTAAATAGTTTTTTAAAATTGATTGCAGAGAGGGAGAGGGAGATAGTAACATCAATGATGAATCATTGATTGGCTGCCTCCTGCATGCCCCCTACTGGGGATTGAGCCCCAAAACCTGGGCTATTGTCTCCTCCTTTCCAAGTTTCTGTTGACATTTTTAATGTAGAATTTTAATGTAGAATTAAAGTTAAGGGAACCATATTTTCTGGAAACCAACTGTCTTTTGATTTCACTGCCTACCAAACAGCATTTTGGTTAGTTTCTCAAGGTTAAACTTTCAATGTCTCACCAGAAACTTCACTGCTAAGTCAAACAGGTAATCTTGGGAATGTATTTGGCAGGAAAACAGGGACAGGTGGGCTGGAGAAAAGACACTGTTCAAGTTGTCAAACATTGTTTTCAACATTCTTTTTTTTAAATTTAAAAAACCTTATATTGTAAAGAAACTACCACCTGTTCGGATGCCTTTAAAAAATCAAAATCAAAAGATGAAAACAGCCCAAACGCCCATCAGATGAGTGGATAAAAAAGCTGTGGGACATTTACACCATGGAATACTATGCAGCTGTAAAGAAGGATCTCTTACCCTTTGGGGCAGCATGGAAGGACCTGGAGAATACTATGCTAAGCAAAATAAGCCAGGCAGAGAGAGACAAATAAAACATAATCTCACATGTTGAATCTAAAGAACAAAATAAACTGATGAACAAAATAGACCCAGTGACATAGAAGCATGGAACAGACTGTGGGATCTCAGAGGGAAGGCAGGGGTGGGTGGGTGGACGGAAGAGATTAACCAAATAATTTATATGCATAAATGCGTAACTCATGGATACAGACAACAGTGGTGAAGGCCTGGGGCCAGGGGTAGGTGTGGGGTAGAGGGGTCAATGGGGGGAAAAAAGGGGACATCCATAATTCTTTCAACAATAAAGATAAATTTTAAAAAAACAAACGGACATGCTTTTGATTAGACAAAGTCTGGTTCTAAAAATTTACCTCAAGAATATAATCATGCCCGGCCGGGCGTGGCTCAGTGGTTAAAGCATCGACCTAGGATCCAGGTGATCAGGGTTCGATTCCCGGTCAGGGCACATGCCCGGGTTGCGGGCTGCAGCCGATCAATGACTCTCTCATCATTGATGTTTCTATCTCTCTCTCTTCCTCTCCTTTCCTCTCTCTGAAATCAATAAAGATATATTTAAAAAAAAAAAAAAAAAGAATGTAATCAGACAAAATGTAAAAAAATATACTGTATGTTAGATGTTTATCAGAGCCTTGTTAATATTAATGTAAAAACATTAGAGATTGATTTAAAAATTACAGAATAGGCAAATCCATAGAGACCAAAAATAGACTAGATGTTGCAGGAGCTGTGGGGAGGGAGAAATGGGTGTAACTGTGAATGGGTATGGGGTTTCTTTGACAGTGATGAAAATGTTCTAAAATTAGACTTTGGTGACATTTTCATAATTCTGTGACTATATTAAAACCATTAAATTGTATATTTTAAATAGGTGAATTTTACGGTGTAGGATTAGATCTCAATAAAACTTTTTTAAAAAAATCAAAAGATCTTAAAACGAGCTTGAGAAAACTTGTCATAACAAATTTTATTTTTTTCAAGTTACAAAAATATGTGCATGTCAAAAATACAGTCTAGTCCATATAAGAGTAGTTCCAGCCATTTAAAAGTTATACAGAATTTGGAAAACAGTTCATACACAAGTCTTAAAACATTCAGCTCATGAATAGTATACAACCACTCAATTTACTTATTGCTAGTTTTATGCAGCTTTTACTTGAGAATGCTCTCCACAAAGGAAAGAGTAGTGCTTGGGCACTCTGCTTGTTGCTGTTAAAGCTGTGGTTTTTAAAAAACCAACCCAAAATCCAAGTAAGTTAATTTTTAATAAAGTATATATTTTGATTAGTACTTTAAAAAGGAGTGGCCTAAATTTCAATTTCACCTCCTTCTATTTAATTCTATTTTGTTGATATATCAGAAATATAATGTGTTGTTTGGGGGGAGTATGAATTACTGGTTTTCAAATGAAGTGATAAGAAACATTAACTTTGAGTTGCAAGTACAAACAAAGCTGGCACATCTAGCTTAAAAACATTAAATCAATAAATTCAAGAATGAAAAAAAAATTTAAAGTTTAACAAAAAACCAAAGCTGTATTTTTTTCTCTTTAGATGTTGAGACAAAATGAATCAATTTGTTCTTTTGAAGTTTATGGGCTAATGAAGATCCGTTGCTCTTTATTTTGTTTAAAAGACAGACTTAACCACACAACTAGAACATGTTTTAAAACAAATCTATTTGCTCACAATGCCATATAAAAGAACAAATTATACAATAAAATAAATTTGAACTTTAATGAGTAAAACAGATAATGTTCACAGTGTAAAACACAGGAAAGAAATCACTTACTTTGGGGGTGGTTAATACACAGGAGATTTTTGGCCTGAAGTTCACATGGAAGACTTTGAAGTTAAGAGAGCAATGGCTTTGTTTCCAACTTTCCTGTCAGACCCTGCTGCAGGGTCAGGTTTATTGCTGACATTTTACCCCCGTATGTTCTTGAATAAATTGAGACATATACTGGTGATAAGTATGAGGTGAACTTGGAAAAACCTTTAAAAATAATCTTTAGAACAAAAGTGACACTCATGACCATTTGGCAATGAACTTATTACCTTAATGACTTAAACCCTAAAAATAGGCTACATTTTTAGGAGGTAGAAAACAAATACCAAAAACTTACCATTTGGCCACCCCTCCTAACTTTTGGCCAACCTTGTATCTCTATACTTCTCACTCTCTATTCTCCCATTAAAGCTATTAGTCCCACTGCCATTCATCACCTAAAATTATAAACCTGGAGCTGCCAAGGAAAAATCTTTTTAACATGTTTTGCTTTTAAGTCACTGAGTATATCCAATATTCAGGTATCAACTAAGAACGTGTTATACCTCTCTAGTAGATTAATTCACTTCATAAGAACACGCCAACATAAAAAACATTAGGTAACATGAAAAAAGACCACTGAACATCTCTCCCTGTGATTCTGTCAGAGTAGTTATGCAAACCAAAAGTAGTAATATTTTCATTGAACTAATTTGAAAAAGCCTTATAACAAAACTGTATTACCATTGTTTACTGAAAATAGGTATGTGTTCTAATACAAAATTAACCTAACAAAAAAAAATACTCCACTTCTTTCCAGAGAGTTATGTTGTGCTGATATCCTTTAGATAGTATTATAAAAGGATTTCATTTTTGCGATAGTCAGGGCTCACAGTATGTTAGTTCAGAGATCATGTGTTTTTAATTATTACTATTAGAATGTCCTTAGTGAAATGTATGTAAGGCATGTAAAAAAAACTAGCATTAAAGCTCTTAAGGGCAATAACCCAAACTGGCAGCTGCTAGGAAAAGTGCTGCTAGAAATTAAAACCACAATGAAATGAATTAATTCACAAAAACTGTGTTGCTGAAACTAATGGACCAAAAGAGAATGGATTTTTGCCCCCTTTAGGTACTAGCCCAGTCTTGAAAACGGAAGCAATCACTTGCAATCTTCCAAACAGTGTTGTTAGGAGAAGTCTGAGCAGTCAGCAGGAAGTTCTGATTGAAGAAGTGCTGTCTGTTTCCATCAAACTTCACAGTTCCACTGGTCACAACAAGAACTGTAGTCTGCGCCTGAGTAGCTTGCTCTTTACCCACACACAAAAAGAAAAGAGGTTGGTCTCTATCTCTAAATAAGCAGATTTTCAGGCTTAAAATACATTGCTCATAATTTTACACTTAAAAAACATTTCATAGACTGTCTTTACTCTGAGCATACTTGTAAGCATGCACACCCAAAGCTAAAAAACTAAATAATCATTTCAAATATACTACAATTATTTTCTGTCCAAATAGATTTTGGGTACTCTAAAGTTTCAAGATAAAGAGCTTATATCTAGCAAAGGACAATTTGGTTCCTGTATTTATTAGTATTTCATTGGGTTTGCAACAGAGCTTTCCCATGCTTTGATTCTTAAGCTACTACTGTTTTCAAGAACTGTAAAGGAAAAAGAAATCACCCTAACCTACTACTTAAGACAATTAGGACCCATCTAGAGGTTAATCTTATAAATGAGTCTACCTTAAATCTAATTCTGTCTTGTCAAAAGTCATCCTTAAAAGAAAGACAAGAAAAATAAAAAAATAAAAAAATAAGAGTCATCCTTTCACACAACAAATAGTTTCTTTGTGAAATTTTAGTAAGTTGTAAGATAATAAAACACATTAATCAGGGATTTTTCTCTAGAGATATTTCAAGGCATAGAAGGCAACTACTTAGAGAAAATAGATTAATTGCTCCATCAATAAAAATCACATTTAGCTTCAAATTATCTCATAAATGTTAATAAACTATAATCACACAATTCACCAACACCTACTGTTGATCTGCTGGAGACAGATCTAAAAGAATACCAAAAGTTTAATTAGACAGCTGAATTTCTCATAATATTTAACTTGCTCAGAAAAGTATACTTGTACTACTAAATGATGTTTTCTGCTTTTGGTGTTCAAGTTCAGTGCTCACTAAAGTAAAACAAAGGAGGTACCTTGAAAGACCATTATCTTACCATGAACTGGTTGGCAATCTAACATATTAACCTGGAATTCACTAGAAGGCAACACCTCAAAAAAATTAGTTAAGGCATCCAGCCCTGTAACAACATTTCCATTCCATATTAAAGTGGCCTTGTCCAGATACAGCCGGGTCAGTGCCTAAAAAGAAATGAGAAAAAAGGAAATATTTTTGCTTCTGGGAAGGCATTTTAACAGAAATGAACTGAAAGGTTACAGGTGATATATAAACATTTTCATAATCTATCTCCATCTCTACTCCCTTGGCTCCTTCCACTGGAAGACAACAGGAACAAGATTTACTCTTAAAAAACTAGGTAGCTAAATATACGTTTTTCATATTTCACTTTAGCCACAATGAGAAAACTTTGCATCCAAACTAGAAGAGAACTTTAAAATTTTGCTTTCTGTATTTAAATGAATTAAATGATCACAAGTTTCAAGCACCTACAACCCAAACCAGTTTTAGTCTCCCTCCCTTTTCTAATTTTGAGAATTAAAAAAGCTGACTTCCATCAGGCCCTACCTATACACTTCAATCCTAGTGTTTATATACATGGAGTCATTTCATGTTCAAACCATTTAATGTTGTATATGTTAGGAAGAATTAGTTCTTTTTACTACTTAAACAGCATATTTAATTCAAAAGAAAAACCAGTACTTGCTAAAGCAGTTTTTTTGTAAGTCAAGTAAGTTAAGGCTCCACTAAGGCAAAATTCAACAGTTAACTCTTTAGTCACAGCAGTTTAGTGTGCCACAGGACTCATTATTTGCTTAATTCTAAAACTTATCTTGGATTAAAAGGCCACACATATCTTGATTAGGCCGTTTTTTTTACTACTTTATTTTTGAAAAGAGAAAGGCACAATAAACATCCATTGTCACATCCCTTGTCTCTGTCCCATGTCATCAAACATCAGTACCAAGAACTTTTTACCTTCTGCCTTAAAAAATAAATTTTTAGAGATAAGATGTTAGCTTCTGTACCTGCAGCATAGAGAAAGTTCTCTGAAATACAATCCTATGCTGATAAGATATCTAGGTAAGATTGGAGCACATACTGAAAAACTACTTAGAAGATATGGCTCAGAGATAAATTACAATGAAAAAAGCTGACAAAGTGGTAAGACGTTCTTTTGGAGACTAAAAGTATCCAAATCATGTGGATTCTGCTTGTGAGTGTCAGCTACAGCTGAGGTCTATTTTAAAAATTACTGATTAATATATGCAATTAAAGGGACAAATTGCAGAACATTCCCTATAATGTCAGACCCCTTCACCAGCACTAATATTATTTTAACCAAATTGGGGTTAATTGGGGCTGAGAAAATATATTTAAATAAATATATGTTGGGTCATTTGTTAAACACAGTATTTAAATTGATTCCCATTTACCACCCTAAAAATAAAATGAGGTTAAGAGACTGGTTATCAACTTGCCCAGGGTCAGGGATAGGTAAACACAAAGCTGGTATATGATTCCAGAGTCCACACTTCCATAATACCATACCAATCCCTTCCTAAAGCAATGCACTTTTAAAGAACAATTCCAGAGTTATCACTTATGTTCTCCAGATGAATGGCTAGCTTAAAAGAAGAACCAGTATTTAACATAATAAAGAATAATTCAGACTATAACACTCACCCGCCTTCTTTTGTCCATTGTCTCATAGTAAATATTGACAAATTCCTCAGCAGCTCTACATGCCTGATCTACATAAGTTTTAAAATCCTACAAGAAAAATTTTAGAAGTGTACATTACCACCCCTCCAAACCCTCACAAACACAAAACCACCAACAGAAGCTGATGATTTATTTCAGTCACTTTGTAGCTCTGTACATAGACCACATTCTTCCATAAGAATTTGGGCATTTTAAAGATTTAGGGCTCAAAAGTTTCCAATTTTTAAAATTTTCACGATTTTGGGGTACAAATTTTTAGGACATACTCATCCCTCATTAGAGCATTTGATATATTTTTTTCTCACTTCAAATATAAATTTATAATCTAAGCTTGGAAACTGGTACTTCAGTACTTACTTTAGGCTTACAATATTTTACAAAACATTCACCATAATAAAAATGTTACAGTCTGAACCTTAAAAAAAGTAGGGGTGGGGGAATTGTCACTGAGTAAATTAGGAAAGCACCGAGTTCACTTTTCAAGCGAAAAGTTATGACCAAAATCAAAAGTTGCTGAATGAAAAAGGCAGAACAACAATAAAGTTCAATGAACTACTTGAAAAATTAGGTACTTAGGAAACTTCCTCACATTACATAAAAGTTCGCCGGCATTTGTAAAGAATTGTAAAACCGAAGAAAAGAAATGCTGTGGGGCTTTTCTCCTGCAGGAAGATTAAGTACTTTCTTCCCCAGCCATTTACCCAGTCCAGCCAACTATTTTAATTAAGAACTAGTTTCATTTCTAGCTCTGGTGATCGAAAGTTATATAGAGAGGAAGATAATCCAAAAAAAAAAAAGAAAATTGCAAGCCATAAACAACAGACCCCAACATCGTCCGCCTCTCGCTAGCTCCCAGCTCAGGGTCCTTTCCAGAATCTTAAAGAGATTGCACGGCCTCCGCAGGTACGCGGAGGGGAGTCGGGGGTCCCCCG